GTACTCTTAACCTACACATTCAGCGTCTTTTGTGCCACACAAATCCCAAACTGTATAAATGCACTAGCTGGGCCAGTTTACCCGGAGCAAAACTGCTTTCTGTGCAGCACAATTGTGTATTAATAGTTGCACTGCTGCCAGTTCTGCAGCTAGTGTCAGTGGGACATGAGCTTGCTCTGCACTGCAGCGATATCCCCAATTTCATCACAAGTTCAAAATGCAGCTCTACAGCAAACACCAGCTAAAGTTATTGTAACACAATAAAGCAGAAGCTACAATTCAGTCCAACACTGCTTCATTACCTAGGCTTCAACTGAACTCCGCCACCCTACCCATGCAGTTCTCCTTAAACTGTTCCTTCAACCAATATGTTTCAGCAACAGGTACCGGGCACATACACACAGTCTTGTGAGAATTAAGAAACTGGTCTCCCCTCTCCACTTCAGTCACTAGGGAGCAAGATCATACAAAAATGAGAGAGACTTCATTTGTTCCGTTGTTATATCTATCCCCTTCTCCCCACACCATCTTTCCCTCTAAATTGAATAAGTACTTACTGCTTTTGCCTCAAGAAGTGGAAATGTTTTTCAGTCTTATACAGCTCAAAGTGGCAAGAGGGGAAGGGGAAATCCAAAATTCATTTAAAACTGATCATTATTACTAAATCAAAATGAGTTTTTTTGCTTGACTTAAGGTGCGTCAAAAAGACAAGCAAAGATTCTTTGGGTAGATGTGATATCTTTTATTAACCAACTGAGTAGTTAGAAAAAAGTTCTTAGCAAGCTTCTGGGCACAAATCGCCCTTCTTCAGGCACTGGGAGTCTCTGCTGTTCTGAGCTCTCTCAAGGAATGAAAGAAGTTAAGAAGTGTGAAAGGATGTCAATGAAAATGGAAAAATCCTCAAACAAGTGCAACCCATATTAGAAGACGACCCAGTTCTTAAAGCGATCTTTGCATAACCACCTCCAGAAATGTTATACATCTCATCTAGTGCGCCAACTGCCTGATGGAAAATATGTAGGAGAAACCAAACAACTACACACTAGAATGAACACACGCTGAAAATCTATCAAACACAAGATATCCAACTACCTGAGGGGGCACACTTCTCCTCACAAGACTATCACTCTTCAAGCTCTCAGTTCTAATCCTCAAAAGGGAACTTATAAAACAACATTCATAGACAAGCCTACAAACTTCACTTCATGTTTACTGGATACAAAATATCATGGATGCAATATAGACATTGGATTTATAATATCCAATTCACCAGGTACCTGCCAGACCTGATTTTTCCCTGCCTACCCCTTCTTCCCCTCCCCTCCTTTTCCACCCTTTGTCTTCCTAATTTCCAGCCATTTACTTTTTCACAGACAGCCTCTTTTCTACCCTCAGGGTACAGTAGTCATCCTTACCGACCTCTGGCATCTTGCCCCTTATTTCTCCCCCTCCCTCCCTTTGTTTCCTAATTTCCACCTATTTATATTCTCACTCACATCCCATCACACTTTTAGCTTTTCTCATTCCCTGGAGATCTCGGAACAGCAGAAACTCCCTATGCCTGAAGGGCGGTTGTACCCAAAAGCTTGCTAAGAACTTTTTCCCCAACTACTTAGTTGGTCTAATAAGAGATGTCACATCTACCCAAAGAGCCTTGCCTATTTATGTCCTTAGACCAATACAACTACAACTAAAAACCTCAAAAGAGAGACTAATAATTGCACAGGTCTATTAATAAATGCCTCTGTTATTAACACCAAGAGATTAGCAACAAGAATATTTCAGTTGATAAACTATGTTGCTACAGGCAGAGAAAGGCAACATCCAAGGAGCAAAGGCCTAGCCATACTACATCGCTCCCTTAGAGAGCTCAACCTTGCAAAGAGTCCTGAACAAACAAGTTCACTTATTTGACAAGTAACATTTGTTTTGTGGCTCTTTTGCAAGATGAGATAGAAAGAAGGCAGCACCAGTAGGTAACTGACCAAAACCAACATAAGGAGCCCTTGGCTTTGCCCTTCCTCACTTAACCTCTAGTTGACAATGTCCTTCAGGGGTGGGGGGAAGGAACTAGAAGATATATTTTCCTTATTTGTTGTTGAAGTAAATTGCAGGTGATGCAACAGATTTGGAAGGGGGGGGACAGAAGGGATTAAAAAAGGGAAGATGGGGAAGGAGTGGGGAAGGGAAACAGCAGCCTACTCTCCAGCCATGTAACTTTAGGCATCTGTTTCTGCGACACTGCCTATTCCCCCTACGAAGCCAGGGATTTTCTTCCACTAGCTAATGGACTATTTTTAACATCTCCTTAAACTATAAACCAAAAATTTGTTCTTGAGAAAAGGACAAGCCTCAATCAACACTAATCTAATCTAGTGCAGGGCTGGGCAAGATGGCAGATCTGGCCAGCAGCTGGACTCCATTTCCCAGCAGCCCCTGCCCACATGGCTGGGGCTGGTCTCCATGGAGACCCCAGCCACACCTGTACTGTGATAGCACAAGGCTGTGGTTGCCAAGGAGACCAGCCCCAGCAAGGCACACAGCAGGGAAGGGCAGGACAGGGGGCTGCTTCAGAGCTACTGGGATCCTGCAGTAAGGGCAGCGCCACGATCTGCAGCCTGCATGACCTAGGCAGGGGCGCACAGGCAGTGGAGCGCGGTTCTGCCCCAGCTTGGAACCAGGCTGTCACCGCTGCAAGGAGTCGGGGCAGAGCTGTGAGGAGCCACTGACTGCGCACCACTGCAGCAGTGTGTGCAGGCTGCAAATTGCAGCTCTGCCCTGACCCCAGACCAAGCTGCCCCTGTTGCAAGATACCAATGGCTCCAGAGCAGCTCCCTGTCCTGCCCTGCCACATGCCTTGCCAGTGCAGCTGGGCCAGTCTCCATTGCAACCACAGCCTTGCACTATCACAGCAGAGGTGCAGCTTGGGTCTCCATGGAAACCAGCCCCAGCCATGTGGGCAGGAGCTGCTGGGAAATGAAGTGCACTGCTGACACACAGGCTGGACTTTGCTTACCATGTGGGGGAAAATGATGAGGATTTGTTTTACTAGATTGGGGCGGGCAATTTGTTTTTCCAAAGCGTCACATTTCTGCATTTAAAAAAAAAGTTACCTTCTGAAGTGGCAAGCACAGTAGTCAGCTGTGCTTCAGTCCTTTTGAGCCATACGTAGGGGACTAGAACAGCAGAAAGAGGACCTTAGAAACCCCAACTCCAGCTGACTTTCCACATTGAATCAGGCATGGAAACAAGCCGACAGGAAGCCTTCATGTGCAAGGAACTCTGGGTATGTGCTGGTACAAAGGTAGTTGCTGCCCTTAGGGCAGTCTGAGTAACAGCATTATCATCATGGAAGTTCAAAAACAACGGTGTATTTGAGAAGAATGAACAAACTAACACCACTTCTACACTTTCCTCAGCATGGGTGTGGCTGGCAGCTTGAGCAACCTACTATACATAGTCAGATCTTTTGGCTGCAACACACAAGAAAGCTCCTTCAGTTTGAAGCCTTTGTTAGCAGAGGACTGAGGGTTACCTTCAAAACACTGAACTAAGCATGTACTAAGAATCATTTAGACACGAACAAGTAGACCAATATCTTCATAAATACTTAGTCTTTATAAATACTTGGTCTTAGTGTTTAGTAAACAGAAAAAGGGACAATGAAGAGGTCACCATGATTTTTTAATTTTAAGATGTCACTGTTAAACACACATTAGTCAAACTAGTTTAGTAATCCCTGCTGCATAAACTTGAGAATAAGATTTTATTAGATAAAAACACCTCATTAAAAGCTTTGATTTTTAGCCTTTGCAATAAAAACCTAGTAAGCCTACCACTGCTCTCATTTTGTCAGACTAATGTGCATTTTAGTGACACATTTTTGAAGTTAATAATGCACTATATACTGAGTACCAAACTCAGCCTTGCCTTCCTTGAAAGTGCTAGAGGGAGTCATTTGACCAGCTATTTACAAATTTCAAATGCTAATGTATTTACAATAGAAACCAATGTATTTAAAACCATTAAATATATAGTGTTTAACTCTGCTATTAGTTTACATGAACACAGCTTACCTCTGGCACCAGTTTCCTGCTAATTTTTCTGCCAGCATTTTAGAAATTCAAAAATGCTATTTCTGGAGCAGCAAAAAGAAAAGCTTAAAAAGAAAACCAACCCAAAGCCTCCAGGCATTTTAGCACCCTGAGGAGTTACCCACCCCAGAGAGTTTTCTAAGAAAAGCACTGTAGTATTCAGCGATACTTCCAAACTCCAGGCTGCCTTTAAAACTAATGTATATGTAAAACATTAAGAGTCAAAGCACTCCACTGAGTAGATTTACTGGAGTCACTGCTGTCATTCAGATTATGAATCCATGATCAGAAAAGAACAAAAAAAAAAGTCACTGCTTTGCTGCATCTCTCTCCATTACATTCCCTCCACCCGCATGAAGTGTTTGTGCATCAATGTCCATAAACACTAGGTAGGCATCGTCTTCTCTTCTTTGCTGAAAGGCTGAACTGAACCAGGCTTTACCCATGACAGGCCAGACACATGCATGCTTTTGCAGTGCTGATCTTCTGACTTCTTCTAAGGAGGAAAAGAATTAAGCATCAGACCTATTTGAATGATCAAAAGGTAGTTTTTAGAACCAACTGTGCAAGACTTGCATAAACCCCTAAACCAAAAATCCAAATACCAGGAAGATAAAAGATCTCAAATTATGCCCAACCCAAGTTTCTGAGACAGAAGCACTAGTTTAAAAGTGACAACTGCATAATGCAATAAATGATGGCAACTTTCAGATGGCAAGCCACATCTGCTAGTTCTACATGTGGCGCGAGGTACCAT